CAAAAAGCTCAGAACTGTGTCTGTAGAACTCCGCTTCGGCATCACTCTCTTGTCCTAAACCAGGGGACATTAAAAAACTGTCCCTGTGAGACTTGACGCTGTGTTTCATTAGCAAGGATTCTGTTTTCTTTAAAGGTAGCCTTTGGAGAAATTTCCTCCTCACCATGGGACCAGGTCTGCTTCTCCTGATCAAGAGGTTCATTTTTATGTGATTCAGATACATATCATGAACCTCTCATCATGCTGACGGCCGGACAGCTCAGAGCCAGATTTCAGGCACACAGGCAGGAATGTGCACGACTTCAGAGCAAGCATGTAATCTGTGTATCAGTATTTCATTTTACTTTCACTTTGCCCCATTTTCTACATCCTCTCAATTTAAAACTGTATCATATCGGGGCCCCTGAGTGGCTCAGTCAGTTAAGCATCCAACTTCAGCTCAGGTCACGATCTCGCAGTTTGTGGGTTTGAGCCCCGTGTCGGGCTCTGAGCTGACAGCTCAGAGCCTGGAGCCTGCTTCGGATTCTGTGTCTCCCTCTCTCTCTGCCCCTCCCCTGCTCTATCTCTCTTTCTCTCAAAAATCAACAAACATTAAAAAATTTTTAATAAATAGAATCATATCATGTTGCATGTATCTATGTACATATCCTCATCTCTTTCAGATTAAAAATAACCTACAAAATACATAAATACTAGGGGAGAACCAATATGGCCATGGTCCCAGGATACCTAGAGACAGAATAGTATTTGGGTTTAAAGTGGGTTGTAATTTCCTCAAGCAAAAGCACTTCCTAGAAGGCCCAAGACTCTAAGGTGGGTGATAAAACAACGGAAAAGAGAGACTCACTGCTAGAAATCGGGGAAAAAAACACTATTCTTGCTACAAGATATTCTTGCTACAAGAATCTTTAGGCACAAGTATAAAACAACACAAAATGTACGTAAACCAAATAAATTACATATGTATCGGAGAAAAAAGACTGGAAACACGTACCTCTATTGCATTTTTCTAAGACTCTTCTCTGTTCGAGAACTTCTGAATTCAAAACATCTTTTTCTTGTTTAACTTTATTTACCTAAAATTGTGAGATTGCGGGGGAAGGAAACACCCAACATTGTAAAACACGACAAATGGCGATGTGCAACACTCAAACTGCTGTCCAACATTCAACACAAAGCTACAATTTAAAGCAGTCGTTGGCTTTACCGTGTTGGGCTTTTATTAAGGTCCTTCTTAAGGCCTCAAAGGTAGCTATTTAAGTTAGGATATACATTTGGTAGAGAACTTATTTACAAATTCCAAATGGCACTGGTCCCTAACAATGTAAATGGCTCATATTTTAAAATGCAAAAATCCAACCAGAAAGCACCCAGAAAATAGAGGAATCATTTGGTCTGAGATCCAATACTCAATTTTGGTATTCATTTCAAACTCTGATGACATTTGGCTTAAGTAAAACGTACATTAATTTTTTTAAGTAAAAAAACACCTTAAACTTTGATGACTTTGGGCTTGAGTAAAACACACATGAAAATCTTCCCCCAAAACACATTTCTGAGGTAATTTTGACATCGGTCAATAGGAAAGAATATCATATAGGACCAATTAAAACAAAAAAGAATGTGAAGTTACATGTATCAAAGAGGATAAATCTCAAATGCGCTATATTGAATTTTAAAAAGCAGGTACATTTACATCATTTAAAAACCCTCAAAATACTATTTATTATAGCAAAAGATGTAAATACATGCACTGGAATGATAAAAAACAAGTTTAGAATAATGGCTGTTTAGGGAAAAAGGGCAGGGAGGGTAGGGATTGCAGTCAGGAAGAAATCCACTGGGATTTTCAAGACTACGTATTAAGCCAGGTAGTAGGGATATGGATATTCGTTATTTTGTTTTTGATACTTTCCACACGTCTGAAATAGTCGTAACAAAAATAACTTCCGAAAGGGCTTCCGGTAACACTTCTAAGTGGGAGGGGGCAGGATTATCAGTAAATAATCATAATTAAGGAACAGAGTACATCAAAATGTGTGTGTCTCTCTCCTATGGTTACAGTTAAGAAACACACTAAGATCGTGGTCCTGGAAAAGGACTGAATCAATCAGCATGCCAGAGCCTGTGAACTGGTTGCTTTTAGTATAAATTAGATTTCGGATTTTGGTTTGAATTAGTAACTGGTATAAGATCTCCAACAGGAATCCCACTTCTAAAATATCATCACCCTTCTTCCCTCTCATTAGGATGTCTTGCCACAGTAAGGAAACCGGAGCAAGGCTGAAACTGGTGGCCACTGCTTCCCAACATGTCTCCCATGATGGCCCTTAAGAAAACGGTCAGATACGTTGTGCAAACTTAGGTAACTGGATGAGGCCGCCCACTGCAGGGATCGAGGCCTTGGCATTACCTGCAAGCCACCGGAGGGATAGCTAGGCGCTGGAGTGTGTGGGTTTGGAAGCTTGGGCTGCAGAATCTGGGAGCCACTCACTGACACAAGCTAAATCAAGACTGCAGTTCCTCGAAGCATCGTGCAGAGAAAGGCAATTATGTGCTCCTGTCCCTCAAGACCATTCACACGGAAAAATAAGAAGATTCTCCAAACACCCACTTGAACCCATTCTACCGCCTATCACATGTGCTTATGTTGGAGGCACACAATGACAGCCCAACTCGGCCAACCAGCTGATGGAGAAGCAACACACTTCTTCACCAGCAGTAATAAAGTGGAGGACTTAAACTGCAGGTGCCATTCTTACAAATCAGTCTCACACGGCGAAAGACGGGGGGCAAAGGGAGAGCTTCATTGCTATTTTGGTGCTTTATTTACTGAGCTAAGTAGTGAGGATACGAATGTTCATGATCTTCTTGTCTACGGTGTTTTGTATGTTTGAAACAGGGGGCAGAAGAGAAGATTAAGATTAGTACACGGTTCTCGTGTCAGAAATGAACTCCCAAAGGCAATTTTTTAACTTAGCCGGTCTCCAATGCCCTGAAAACACCAAAAGGCTTGCCCTTCAGGCCTAACATACGTACTTCTTCAATTACTTCTACAAGTTTGCTCTTGAGATTTTCCAATTCGATGGCTAATATCTTCTTCTCTTCCTGAACAGATACAATTTGATCTCGAAGTTCTGCGTTTTCAAAGCAAAAATAAAGGAGGAAACAATATCAATGAACTTCTTCTTAAAAAAAGAAATCAATCTTGTCCAAAGAATTGACAATGCCAGTGCACGTGTAGCTTATGGTCAAGGTTATTTAACAATTAAAACAAAAATGAAGAAGCAGAGAACAATGGAAATCTCATTCTGTGCCCCCATACACAGCCACAGTTATTAATAATTTTATATCTCATGATCTCACCATGTCCTTAAATATACTAGATCATGTTTTCTTTACATTCTATCAAACACATATTTTAGAAAACTACCTGGCCTTTGAGAAGTAAATTTTTTTAAGATTTCAGGGAAACAAATTAAGGCACTGTACTAATTTCCTCTTTACTTTAAAATGGCCATGGGCTCTCGTCACAATACAATAGAATAAACAATTGGGCAGCTGATAATTTGCAGATTTTCATTTGCAGAAAAAAATCCTGACCTGCTGCCAGTGGACAGCCCTCAAATACTATTTGAAGTGACTCAAAATACAACCTCTTTGAAAAAGGGTTAATTCTAGTAATTTTCCCTCCAGAGTTTTTGGTGCACGGTTTCTTAAGTTATTTCATATTTCTGATTATTGGGATTTAACGAAGACTGGATTACCAAGATGGAAATATTAGCAACTGTAAGTGAAAATGTTTTTGGTATCAGATGAAAGTTATTTCCACCACTCAAACGTTAAAAAATATATATACACAGCTTAGCACCAAGTACTTAAATTGATACCCAGGCCTACAGTTTTGTGACTTGGTTTTTAACTGCGTTTAATTTCTTACCCTTCTCCAAGAACAATAAAAAAAAAAAACCTTCTCTGGGGTTATTTACAAATGGAATCAAACTTTTACATGAACCCAGCTTGAAGGAGTTCTCAGACACTTATTTCAAAATGACGGTCTCCACTGGGTGGCTAATCCTGAAGGAAGAACAAGAGACCAGATCATCCAAGACCTAACAGAAGGGGAAACTAGGAACAAAAGAAAATCCTAGAAATTTCTTCTCCTTCTCCAACCATATCAATATTATTCTGTCTTAGATTAAGGGGGTGGAGGGTCAGGTAAGGATGGCTTTCTTCTTACTTTTTTCTTCCTACTTGCAACTGAAGTTTTATCTGCCCGAGAAACTAACGAGTATTGCTTTTGACATGCGCCGAAGGCTAAAATGCCCCAGAAGCCACTGAGCCCCAGACGGCTTTCCTATATCATTAACATAAACAACGTGTACATATAATTATGTGTATATATAATCATGGATAAAATTAAGGCATATTTTTAAAATTTTATTTTAGAGAGAATGTACGTTGAGTGTGGGAGAGGGACACGGGGAGAGAGAATCTTAAGCAGGTTCTATGCTCGGGCTCAGTGCAGAGCCTGATGTGGGGCTTGATCTCACAACCCTGGGATTGTGACTTGAGCCAAAGTCAAGAATTGGACACTTAAGTGACTGAGCCACCCAGGTGGCCCCATTCCTTCTTTCACTTAACAAAAATATCTTAACTATAGTCCATGTTTAAAAATATCTTAACTATAGTCCATGTTTTTAAGCAGTTTTACAGACTAGCTGTTTCTATCAAGACAGTACTTTCAAAAGCGCCTAATCCCAAACAAGAAAGTTGTAACACACCAATGTCACGTCCTGTCGTGATTCTCAAACCAGGCTACTCCCTGGAACATTTAAATCAGAAATGTCTTGAAGCAGAACCCAAGTTCTAAAGTTCTCCAGTGATTCCAATGTACAACCAGGGTTGAGAAATATTATCAAAAATATGCTCGGTGACTGAGCCAAGAATACCACCTTTGATCTGCTTCTGACACTGGATGGAGACGCAAGTCTCCGCGGCACCCTCTGGATCTGTGCTGGCATCTTCGTCATCGATGTTGATCTCTTCAGTTATTACATCTGGTCCCAGCTTGGCCATGTACAACATGCTGATTCTTTTCAATGTTTTATTTTCTTTATTTAGCTGAGGCAAAATATAAAACCAGTTATTTTAACAGCAGTCAAATGAGTGTCTTGGATTTTTAAACAATAGACAGATTAAGTGTATTTCTGTCTTCCATATTCATCAACATTCACAGCGTGAACTAACAATTAGAAGATTCATTAAGTAAGGTTTTATTTACACTTTTTTAATATTAAACTTATTAAAGTAAGGCCTGATGCCTGGATGACTGCCAGCAGCCTGGGAAAATCCTAGCTATAACTGATAATATAAGAGAACTTAAAATAAAACATCAGTATAGACTTTGTTACGTTAAGTAAGACCTGATGCCTGGATACAGCCAGCAGCACGGGAAAATGCTAGTTATAACAGATGATATAAGAAGAATTAAGATAAAATACCAGTCTGGATTAAATCAAATTTCAATTTATTTCAATTTAATTAAGGCATTTTGTTTCAAAAAAAGGTTTTCTTTGCTGCTATGCATGCCCTGTAAATGTTTGTTAGCTCAGCCCTCTCTCTTCTCTGGACACTGCTACACTCTTCTTCATTGTTCGGCAGGATTGTTACGGGAACAACCATGTTCCCCCAGAGCACACCCTATCCCTTTGGCCACAGCTAATCAGTCCACAGATTAGGCACACGAGGCCAAGCTTGGTCAGATGGATCCGTTCTCCAGAAATCTGGAGGCTGGAACACGGAGAGGAGTTTCCTTCCACACGTCCGCATGTACAGAAACTATTGGCACCCACATTCCAACTCTGAATTGAGGAATAGAGGAAGGGAGTCCATAGCAAAGCCAAATATGGAGCTGATGTGTAGAGACAGGCAGAGGAAAATAATGCAGATGGGTTTCCCACAGGGCTCCAGTCCATTCCTGAAATACTCTCCTAGCCCATAGGTAGATTCTGTGGGATTCTCCAATATCCCTCACTAACAAATTCCTACTTTTCTTAAGCCAGTTCAAGACGTGTTTCTGTCTAGAGTTCTAATAATACACAATGGAAGAAAGCACAAGATATGTTTCTACTATCTCTATAAAGAGTTCCAATTCACAGCAAAGAAAAGAAATCCTAATTCATTAATGTATTTGTTACTCCTTTTGCAGAAATTAATTGCTTTTTAGTTTCAGTTGCTCAATTATCATTGCCTTCTTTGGTTCATGTTTATGTCCATATGAATATTAGTACAAAGCACACACAAAGAGTAAACTTGGAGGAGGGGAGGCACCCGGGGTGGCTCAGTCAGTTAAGCCTCCTACTTCGGCTCCAGTCAGATCTCAGGATTCGTGAGTTTGAGCACGGCATGGGGCACGTCGCATCCTCTGTCTCCCTCTCTGTCTCTCTGTCCACTTGCATGTGCGAGCACGCTCTCTCTCTCAAAAATAAACATTAAAAAGAAAAAAAAAGGGGCGCCTGGGTGGCACAGTCGGTTAAGCGTCCGACTTCAGCCAGGTCACGATCTCGCGGTCCGTGAGTTCGAGCCCCGCATCGGGCTCTGGGCTGATGGCTCAGAGCCTGGAGCCTGTTTCCAATTCTGTGTCTCCCTCTCTCTCTGCCCCTCCCCCGTTCATGCTCTGTCTCTCTCTGTCCCAAAAGTAAATAAACGTTGAAAAAAAAAAAAAGAAAAAAAAAGAGTAAACTTGGGTCCAAAGTCCACAGAAGGAAAATACAGCTTTCTCATGTTTTCTCTTCTCAAGACTGCAAAATAAAAGGTCTTCTCTGAACACACAAATATTTAGAGATGAAACCATGTTTCTTTCACTAAGGACCCATGACCAACACGACAAGTTGTGAATTTCATAACTGACACTGGAAATTAACACAGAGACCTAGTTCAATGCAAAGCTAACTCCCCTTCTCCACTAATCACCTTATGTCAGAGTAAGCTGTGCTTATACTTAGTTGTCAGGCTTTGGCCCTTCATTCGTGGTAATTAGGACTCCTCAGGGAAAAGCCCAGACCATTTCAAACTGGGAGATCTGATTCTCACCCCAATAACATTGAATCTAAATGTATCTTAAGTAGCCTGGTCTGGAACACAAGAGGCTTCCCTGACCTCTCTGGGGAGTGAGGAAGAATCAATCCGTCAGAAATGGCTATGAACCCTCCTGCAGCTTCTCCCTGGGAAGCCCAGTGAGTTCTATTCAGGGAATCTGACACTGCCCTCTTCTTCCCTGTCCCCAGCCCACAGTTCGGGCTTCTAGCTCCCCAAGATACATTACAGGATCAAGAACTAGATGGGAGCCCGTCCTCTCTCTCGGCCTCTCTCTCTTCAGATGAAACATTCAAGTGAAGACTGCTGTGGGTTCTCTGAACCATGAATGCTACAGAGTAGACCTATGCTGTGCTCAAGGATCATGGTCAATTCCCGGACAACACCATCTTTTCTGAACGTTAGGAGGAAATAACAATTTAAGGAAAAGGTGAAAAAAACCCTCAAGCCTTCATTTGTAATTCTGCCTCCTACCACTTAAACTAATGGTTTCCAGCTCTGCGCATTAACATCTCTAGAGAGCTTTTAAAAACTCGCACTGCACAGGCCTGCAACAGACCCAAACCTCTGGGAGTGGAACCCAGCACAGTACTTTCTCTGAGTCCTCGGGTGACTCTAATGTATGTCAATACTAAGAATCTTTGATACAGAGAAAGGCAATGTGTTATTATACATTTCTATAAAAATCAGCAGAGTCAAGAATCCTGCTCTGTAATCAAATGTTTCTGCCTCTGGAATAACCTCATCTTTCAGGGTGACAGTTTCCTCATCGGCGAACTAAGGAGAAAAATAGCTTCTACTCCATAATGTGGAGATTGAAGGAGATATTACATATAAAGTATTTAACACGGTGACTGACATGCAGTAAAAATTCAGTGTTCGCTAGTCATTCTTACAAAAGAAGTTTAGTTTGTGCATCTGATTTTTCTTTGGAAATAGTCTATCAGCTCGTTTTCTTCAACCAAGATATACATCCATGATCCATGCAATTTTTTCTTCCTCCAGGATACTCACGAAAGCACAAAAATGCTAATTTTTGCCATCTGGTGCTTAATACGTCAGCTCCAGGGCCACCATCACAATAATAATAACCTGATAGTTAACAGTCCTACCCTCAAAAGAGTTTAATGCCTCTCTCTATCAAGTCAGGCACTAAAATCCACCAGCCCTCGGCTGGCCGGCTGGCCGTACGACTCTATTTAACAGAGTTACTAACTCAAGAAGAAAGCCGCACACTGGGTGCCTGGCTGGCTCAGTAGCTAAAGCATGGACTCTTGATCTCAGGGTCATGAGTTCAAACAGCACATTGGGCATGGAGCCTAGTCACAAAAAAATAGAAAAAAACAAAAAAGCCACCTAGAAAATTTCAAAAGTCTTCTCTGAAACATCATTCTCATGTTTCGGAAGAAGAGACGTAAGAGTTATGTACATAAAGATCTCATGACCGTGCTAACTGGGTATTTTTGGAAACTCTGAATTCACAAATTTTGGCTATGCAATTTCACCGAAGTTATTATTCATCAAGTTATATATGTTAACGGCATGCTGTTTTTTGGAACCATTCTAAGTCACAAAGCAAAACTAAATCTTCTATAACCCTACAGTAACAGAATCCTCTAGTACATTCAAATTTAAGTAGTTTTCATATTGGGTGCAGCATAATGAATATTTAAAGATACAAAATAAGCAAGTTAAACAGATTTGGACCATATGGTTTAAATAACTGGTCCACATTTATCAGGTTAACCTACACATTTTAGCAAAGTACCCACCCTTGCTTTTAAGAACATTATGCAAATTGCACCTTAAGAACTAAACATTCCATTTGTCATTAATTTGAAAGCAAAGATTCAGGAAAATAAGAATAAATTTGCAGAAACTTTGCTGCTTTAAAAATGGAGCCTACCTTCAAAAATGACAATTGGGATATCTAAATCAGGATGTGTGGTTTATTGATCATACATATAGAGAAGCTTCCAAACTTTGCATTCAAAGCTGTAGGATCTTCCAGATCCAATGAGCACATCTATAGGTTTTGTTGACTTGTGTTTTTATTCCAAGTCCCATAAGGTCACACTGGATCCTCAAAAACAAACCGTATGTCCATTTTCAAAAGACTTCATAAAGAACAGAGGACAAACGGCAGAGGGAAGGGTCCCATGGTCAAGACTAAATTACAAAACTGACCTTTGAGATTAGCAACACGGTGGTTCATAACCACGGATGACCATTATAACAGTCACATGGCAGCTTTCTCAGCCCACACATGGCCACCAGTGGGTGTAGGGTATTCTTAAGAAATCAACACTGGTCTACCCTGACACTTAAGACAACTATAGCTCAGAGAGGTGCATTCTCTTGCTCAAAGTCACCTGTTAGTTAAAAACAGAAAGGCAGGAATCAAATCTTTCTTTAAAGGGACCTATACAGGGGCACCTGGGTGGCTCAGGGGGTTAAGTGACCAACTCCTGATTTTGGCTCAGGTCACGATCTCGCGGTTTGTGGGTTCGAGCGAGCCCTGCATTGGGTTCCACATCGACAGTGAGGAGCCTGCTTGGGTTTCTCTCTCCCTCCCTCTCTCTGCCCGCCCCCCCCGCTCATGTTCTCTCTTCCTCTCTCTCAAAATAAATAAATAAGCTTAAAAAAATAAAAACAAAAAAAATAAAGGGGCCTGTACAGACCCATGAGTAAAGTGCATCACGAAAAAAAGAAAAGTCCTCCCCATTCTCCCTTCAGTCCTCACCCTAGTCTATCCTGTCATATAAGAGGAGACTACAGCAGTCCAGGAACCAGAACTAACCTGCCCAAAGTCAGTCACATATGCCCAAAATGACATAAGTGGGAATGAAACCTGTATATACCGCCTCCCAAACTGCTGCTCTCCGTGAAGTCTGCCCATCCTGAGAGTCAGTCAAGCCTTTTCGTTCCACGTGTCCTATTGGCAACAGGAATACTTAGGCACTTATGAATAGCGAGAGGAAACACAGAGACCATCCTCAGCCACTGCAAATTCGGAGCAGCTAGTGCGCTCCGACTACATTTCTCTACTTGTTCCAAAAGAAGACCCTCAGGACTTGAGAAGAGAATTCGCAGTTTTGTGGACCAGTGAACACTTAGCGACGTGTAGCACGGATGCAGCGGGGGGAGAGCGCTCACATCATCATCGTTTTGAAAGTGAAGGCCCGCGCTGCTACGTATTCTTCAGACACAAATAACAGAAGGGAAGTTGCATGCACATCATTTATATTCTGAGGCTCTGGCTGCATTATCTTGTGAATCCCAACGTAGTGTCATCACACAAACAATTAAGCAAACACCTCTAGCAAGCACACTGCTAATGCATACAAATTAAATAGAGACATATACTGACGGACTGATGGACTGATTTGCAGAATTTCAGTCACATCCAAAGACACACTTTGGAGGCACCTGATGGGGAAGAGGGGAAAGACACACAACCGGCAATTACTAATGATATTTGGCTAAAAATTGCTGTCATCCATTTCCTGATGAAGCGGTTCAGATGCATTTTACTCAACCCAAAATACGTAAGACGGAGATAAAAACATTCTTTAATAATAATGTACTTCTGATGAGACAGAATATAGAAAATTACACTCTTGGTAAATTCATCAGCGAGAAGCAATCAGCAGAGCACTGGAGGTCACCTTTAGCATATGCCCTCACTCTGCTTTCACAAATAATCACCTGAAATATAAGGCTGGAGGCTGACTTTTTCATCTACATCAGACACGAAACACTCACTGATCCTTTACGTCCCACCAGGTTACTTTTAAACTTGGTTAACATTTTCACCCAGTGCACAGACATCTAGGAAGTCCAGCTGGAAGAACTCCTCTGGGGCCATTTTTCACAGGCAAAAAAAGCACAAATGCTGAAATACATATAAAGAAATGCCCCCTGTTGCAATCAAAATAACCTATGCAGTAAGATATTTCCATAAGCCGCTTCCAGGAGTCTGAGAACTTATAACACTGTCCTCATCGTCAGAGTGGAGACAACGGATTAGAAAACCAGAGGGGCAGAAAAGGGCAGAGGCCACTCTTCAGAAAAGCACGTTGAAATTAAAAAGCTCAAGTAGAATTCCCTTCTTTAAAGAGTCTCACCTTTGTTGCCAAAGCTTCGGCGCTTTCTCGACAGGTCTTCTCTATTTCAAGATGGTTCTGCATAAAATTGACTTCCTCTATAACCATGTGAGAAACTAGGAATGAGGGGAAAAAAGTCTCAGCATTCAGAGATTAGTCAGTGATTCCAGAAGCCCACACATTTCGTCCCATGACTCAGAATACTTCAATTCTTTAGCTAGCCAGACCTTCAGCTCTCATGGAAAAAAAAAAAGTGTTGAAGAGGCTGTCCTGATTAAATCTTAGCTAATATATGAATGTGGAAGGGAAAAAAAGAACACAAGGAAGAGACTTTTACTGCCAGTGCACACATTTTAGGAAAGCTAGTTAGGAGGTTTTTTTAAGTGTCTGCTTCCCATGTACCTGTGCACGCAGCCAGACACGTCCACGAATTTGGACGACAGAGTCTCTCCTAAATAAAAAGTGGCACACGTGATTTCCTTTGCGTAACAGGACAGAACACGTGGATCTAATAAGGAAAGCTAGCAAAAGAGACATTTTTTAAAAATAAACCTCCACTTGATCTCTTTAACTGGAGTAACGGATGTGGCAGCTTAGTGATGGCCAGTACTGTAACAGCAGTCTTTATCAGGGACAAAGTGGTTACTTTTACTAAACTCCAAGGCAGAAGAGCAGAGCAACAAGGTTCATGCACCATAGGACGATGAAATCGGATGCTGCTTGCATCACAGACTGCTAGGAGATTCAGAAGAAAACAGAATTTTATTCGGTACTTTACCAATGCCTGAAAAATAGTTATTTTGAGGTTTTTTTTTCTAAATAGCTGCTCTATATAAATGGAGATCTACAGGTACAAAACTGAGAACTTGAATCGTACTCGAAAGACCAGGGGACATGCCAATTCCTCTCGCCCATGTTTCTAGTTAAAAGGAAACGCTCAGAATCTTAAACTTAACTGTAGAGGTGTATACCCATTGACATTTGTTTGGCTTAAGAAAGAAAAATTAAGTCTACCCAAATGTGAAACCCAACAAAGTTAGGCAAAAAGCACTGGGCTCACATAACACAAAGAGAGATTACTTTTGCTTCATTTAAGCTTAATTAACCTGCAATTATGATTAAACTCAGGGGGGGAAAAATTTCTCTCCAAATTAAATACAAAAATGTATTACTTCCTAAGTCCGTCCAAAGTTCTTATTATGTTAATATTCAGATTCATAAAGCAGGACTAAATGGCCAGAAACATCTCTAACCTTGACATTTTTTCAGGGGTAATAATAATCTGCAGCAAATGCAGGCCAACCAAAAACCACTTAACTAATTAGTAGTTGCAGTCACCGAGAAAAACATGAATCAACACTGTTATTACAAGTGGCACATTTGAGTGGCATCTAATTATGACTTGATGAGCACGATACTTGCATTATCAACATTACTACTGCATCCCATCAGGGCCTAAAAGCTGCTGATGGCATTGACTTCGAGAAACTCCCACTCAATGGTACGGCAGCACCCAACAATCGGCTTGGCAGGGGCCCCCCTCACTAAATGACACGTTAAGCGTAATTACTGGTAGACATTGTAAATAAACAGGATTGGAAGTGAAAATTGTACCAAGTGCATAAGACACAATCTGACACATTGGAAGTGGCAGCCTTAATTGAGAGTTTCTTTGACTGCTCAAGATCATTTCAACTGCATTTCTCAGAGGACAGTGATTATAACTGTGGAGACAGACGGCATAATGGTATCAGCACTGCTGACAGAGCAGTGAATTAAATTGTATCTGCTGTTGTGTGAAAGCCTTGATGAGAGGTACAGATGCCTTAGTGGTCTTATCATTATAACACAATGGTCATGTTGTCATCAACCTTTCTGGCTCCAATTGAAAAGAAATGATTGTGTGTTGAGGCTCTGCGCCCCCCCCTCCCCACCCCCCCCTCCTATTCTATCTCTTGTTCTGAATAGAACCAATTTTCAGAGAGCTATGAAATCACGCAATAGGTCCTAAAATGCAGCTGCTTGGCATACAAACGGGTCCCCATTAAACTGGAATCACACACAATATGTGTTTATGCCAGAAGAACAAATAGAAGCTGAACACAGGCCAAGTTTATTCACACACACAAAGCCCATGTAGCTCTTCATCAATATAATTGCCTTTTATATTGTAGTTTAAATAATAGGCTCTATTATTTCCTTAAAATCCTAATATTCTTGGCATTTTATCACTGTGTTTACAAGGTAGGTTCTTCAAAAGTGTGAAGGAAAGAGAAAAGAAACCTACACAATTTTTACGACATCAAATATTACTTTGAATTTTTTAGCCTTAACTACTTGACTTCTTCTCCCACAATCTGGTATTTCCATGATCATAACGAAAACATAAACACTCTGCAGGTTTCATAGGAATTTGACTTTTTATTCAACAACATTCTTGCTCATGGAATTGTGAGAAAAATCATTCCACCATAGCCAGGTTTAAGCCTAGCAAAAAGAAAAAAGAAAAAAACTTATTTTCTGAACATTTTGTAAAAATCTGCCCTGTAATTTAACTTGATAAACTTACATAGGTAGCACTAGCCCACATTTTCTCCAATTCTCATACAGTAGACTCCATCAGGTAGGTGTGTTTTTTTTTTTTAATCTCTTCCTCTAAGAGGGAACAGTAGAAATCAGAAATAGTGCTTTGATTTCTAGTTTAAAAAATTATCCCTATGCTAAATAGGTAGCAAAGAAACGTACTTATCAACTTTCCAGATTCAAAAGAGAACATACTTCAAAGGGCAATTATATCTTTAAAAAGCATGACCTCATTTCTAAAACCAAAAGTCAGGTTACATGACACAAAACAGATATTTCTGTAATACATCATTTCATTTGCACCTTCCAAAGGACAAAAGTTTTAAAAACCTTTGGGTGTTCATTCAGTGATTTGCCTTATGGTGCTGAACGCAGGCTTGTCTCGTAATATCCACAGACCATGACCACAACCCCTAAAAGTGTCTATAATTTCGATGACATGAAGGTTTTAAAAAAGAAGAAAGCCGAATCCAGGTATTTTAGAAATACATACTGAAATATTTACAAATAAAATGAGATGATGGCTAGAATTCGTTTCAACATAATCTGAGGTTGGTGAGAGCAGAGGTATGGATGCAGAGATGAAATTAACTCGGCCATCAGCTGGTTAACTGTCGAAGCTGTATACTGCCTAAATGGGGTTTCGTTATACTATTTTCTCACTTTTGCATAAGCTTGATACTTTCCATAGTAACACTTGTTTTTAATGACTCTGAGAAGTAAGAAGCATAACCTAAAAGTACGTTGACTGTTGCGTCTACCAGTCGAGCTGAATTAGCCAAGTTTGTTTCTCTTCTTCGTGACCCCCAAAGCACATGTACATACGTGCCATCATAGAATGCATCACACCGTAGGGCAACTGGGCTTTTCTTTCTTTGTCACTTGCTTTCGTCTTTTTTTTTTTAAGGTTTATTTTTATTTTTTGAGAGAGAGAGAGAGAGAGACAGAGCACGAGCGGGGGAGGAGCAGAGAGAGAGGGAGACACAGAATCCGAAACAGGCTCCAGACTCTGAGCTGTCAGCACAAAGCCCGACGCGGGGCTCAAACTCACAAACTGCAAGATCATGACCTGAGCCGACGCCGGACGCTCAACAGACTGAGCCACCCAGGTGCCCCTGCTTTCGTCTTTTATTAACCGTGAGCATGAGAGCAGGAATTTTTCTTTGCTCACGTGGGACTCCCTTGCACCTAGCATGATGCTAGGTATCAACAAGGTTACCAGGTTTGTGTTTGTCTCAACGACTGAGAAAACAGATCAGGCCTACGTTCATCTGTGAACACCCTTTTACAAGAACGTTCTCTCTAGAACAGAACTGCTCAGGACACAACCACCATCACCATTTATCGGGCCAACTACGTGTCCAGCCTGTTCCACACCCTTTACATGTGTTCTGTCGTGAATTCTCACAACAGTCTTAGGAGGCACGTACTATCGCAAGTTTTGTATCTGAGAACACTGAAGCCCAAAAAGTCAAGTAACAGATGTCAAATTACAGAGTTCTAACCGGTCAGGCCCAGCCAAACCAATTTCTAGGCAACTCCCATTTCTCCATGTCTCTTTCTAACTTGTTGTATTCAAAGGTGATACCACCAGGGGCGCCTGGGTGGCTCAGTCCAGTTAAGTGTCCAACTTCGGCTCAGGTCATGATCTCACGGTTCGTGGGTTGGAGCTCCCCGTCGGGCTCTGTGCTGACAGCTCAGAGCCTGGAGCCTGCTTCGGATTCTGTGTCTTCCTCTCTCTCTGCCCCTCCCCCACTCAACGTGTCTCTCTCTCTCTCTCTCTCTCTCTCTCTCTCTCTCAAAACTAAACATTAAAATTAAAAAACTTTGGGGGGGTGGTGCCTGGGTGGCTCAGTCGGTTGAGCGTCCAACTTTGGCTTAGGTTACAATCTCACAGTTCAGGGATTTGAGCCCCACATAGGGCTCTGTGCGGACAGCTCAGAGCCTGGAGCCTGCTTCGGATTCTGTGTCTTCCTCTCTCCCTGCCCCTCCCCTGCTCAGGCTTTGTCTCTCTCTCACTCGAGAATAAATAAACTTAAAATAAAAAAATTAACAAAGGGGACGCCACCAATGGTGCCACCCTGAGCAAAACTCCTCTCCATCCAGCCAACTGTCAGCAATACTTGGATGCAGGGTGTCTCCCAAGCAGATGTGATGAACGGACCACAAGTTCTCCTGCAACATCAGGTTACCTGCAAGGTCTTCACATAGTGTGCAAACAGTGACGAAAGCCGGCAGGTGTGCAGGAAAACGGGTGTGCCCTAACACAGAGCAAAGGCTCTCAGGTTCTGGCTGGAGGGCATCAAAGACCTTACTTACTTCTCCTCGCACAGGAATCTGCCTTCATAGGGAACATGGCTTTGCTAGGCAGTGATGCTCCTCGTGCAGGAAGACAGGAGGAAGGCTCAGGAAGAGCTGCACGGAAATCTGGACGAAACCTGCCAGAAAGAGCACGCTGAGCCGGGACGGTAGAGCCCTCCTGTGGAACAGAGCTCCTCCTAAACCTGGTTCAGCTGCTCTCTTCCTGCACTTG